ACTTTGGTCTTTTTGGAATTTATATCTAACATCCAAGAGTTGCAAAAAGAGGATAATGTGTTGAGACAGTTCTGCAATCCGATTTTAGATCGTGATATAATAATTAAATCATCAGCATATAAAAGCGAATTTAATTTGGTACCATTTGGAAGGATGATAGGGTCTGATAAAGTATTTTGAAATGCGGACGGTAAGTTATTAACGTATAAATTGAAAAGTAAGGGGCTTAAAATACAGCCCTGGCGTACGCCCCGTGAGAAGCTAAAAGATTTTGTTTGACTCGTACCTATTTTCAATGCACACGAAGAGTTTGAATATAGGTTTTGGATTAACTTATAGAAACATCCCCCTACACCAATTTGTAATAATTTATATAAAAGTCCGTCATGCCAGACTGAGTCAAAGGCTTTTCTAAAGTCAACAAAACAAGCGTATACTTTCTCACCGTGACAGTGTACGTACTTGTCTATAAGAGTTCGTAATGTTAGGAGGTGGTCTGATGTTCGATTTTTAGGTAAGAAGCCGATTTGAGACTTATGGAGTATGTTCAGCGAAGTGACGTGTTCAAGAAGTCTTTGGTTTAGAATTGAAAAGAACAACTTTCCTAGACAACTAGAAACACAAATCCCGCGGTAATTTGATGGGTCATTTCTTATGCCAGATTTAAATATGGGAGTTATAAGACCGTTGCACCAATTTTTAGGCACTGTTCCTAAGTTAAGAACAGTATTAAAAAGTTTGTGGTAAACAGGTAGCAGTGTTGGTAAGCTAGCTTTAATCATTTCGTTTCTTATTTTGTCGGAGTATGCAGATTTGTTATTCTTTAATTTTCTTGATGCCTTGCTTATTTCAGCTTCTGTTATGAAGTAATCTAGAGGTCGTGATTGCATTAAGACGTCTTCTCGTGTTCTTAACTCATTGACAACTTTCTGTTGCTCAGAAGTAAGTGGCTTATTAGAATGTAGACACTGGAAATAATTCATCCAATTCTCTTCTGCAATTGGTGGAGTGTCTTTGTATTTTATAGTGTCATCCATTGATTTTAAGCAATTCCAAAATTTTTTAGTATCCAAATTGTACGTTGTATCCTCTAATTCTGAGAGTTTATTGTTGTAATATTCATTTCTTTTATGTGCGAGTAGTTTCTTATACTGCTGTAAAACAATATGATATTTTTCACGTAGAGTGGTATTTAAGGGATCTCTGTGTTTTTCATTTGACAATTTCCTTAATTCGTGTCTTTTTAAGCGACATTCCTTATCAAACCATTTTTATTTGAGCGTGAATAGGTGCGTTTACGTCGTCTCGTCGTTCTTATCTTAAGGCATCGTTTTGCCGTTGTGATAAGAATATTTTCTACCTGTTCCGCGGAGGTGTTAACATTTTTAGCTGAATTGATGTCATTTAAATATTCGTGAATTATCATTTGCAAATTTGGAGATTGAAGAGCTGCTTTGAATTTTGGTGTAGAGTCACTTTCCCACGTAAATTGTTTTGGTAATCGTGTTAAAGTATCACTCTCTGGTGAAGGATCTTGATTACGAATATCGGTGTCAGTGCATAACCAGGTCACCAGTGGACTATGATCCGATAAATACGTGGGCTCTTTAACAACAAAGTTTAGTATGTGTGAAAATAACGTTTGATCACATATGGCATAATCAACGACACTTATTCCAGCCTTTCCATGAAATGTGGCTCTTCCTAAGGAGTCTCCACTAACTCTACCGTTAAGTATTCTAAGATCTGCGCTTCTGCAGATTTCAAGAAGGCGTTTGCCGTGATTGTTAATGTTGTTGTCAAAACTATTTCTATGAGTGGAGCCTGAAGAAAGATGGGACTGATCATTGGTAATAATGGTGTTTCCTTCTTGGCTTACACAATCCGAATATTTTCCTGTTCTAGAATTAAAGTCACCCATGAGAAGAATCGATCCTTGAGAGTAAAAAGTTTCAATGTCGTTTTCAAGATCTTCAAACATTTCAGGGAGAAAGTATTTTGAGCCGTTAGGCGGAATATAGACGCCACAAACATAAATATCTTTTGAGGTTTTTACGTACTGTTTGCTAATTTTGAACCACAGAAAGTTCGGAGTTATTTTTTCTATTGATATCCAATTATGGAGTTCATTTTTGTAGAGTAAAGCAACTCCTCCTGAGTTGCGACCATTGTTTCCTAATTTTGAGGTACCTGAAACTACCGATCGATATCCTGTCACGTCGATAATCGTCTCCTTCCAGGTCTCACAAAGAATCACGAAATCAAATTGACATATCAAATTCAAACATTCATTATTTTGCAATTTATCACCAAGGGGTTTAGCAAAGATCCCATTGATGTTCCACGAAAAGAACGACAGACTACCAGTCGGGAAGCGATTCGAGCAATCTGCCAACATTAATGATATCTTATGGCATGTTCTAATCGTATCCTAGTAAATAATTAGGTATTATTTAGAGTAAGGATTTAATGATTCTAAAAAAAGATATAAGTTCCTGAGGGAGTTCAACATGAGAGTCTTTACCCTGGTGAGGTTTACTGTGCATCTGCCAGCCTGTAGTGAAGTGAGGAGGGATCTGTGGCGCGGGCGGTTGTTGCTGCCTTTGAAAGTGCGAGGACTGGTGGTTGTCCACCTCCCAGTTCATAGGTTGCCGGGGGAGTCTTGGTTCACCGTGAGAGTGTAATGGTGACGGGTGCTGCTTAAGGTCAGTGTTCTGAGGATTCTTGACAGCAGCGCTGTAAGAACTGAATTTACTACGGAGATACGGCGGCGGCGAGTGTGGCACTTGTTTCTGGAAAGGACGTGGTTGTTTAGCTCTACCGCGGACTCTATGTTGTTATGATGAAAACATAGGTCTCCGTAATAACTCCATTGGAAATGCTTACTACGCAGGCTAGCCATGGGCGATGTGAAAATGGTGGATATCAAGAGAGGATAAAGCTCGCTTGTGGACATATAAAAAATGACCTTTCCCTTGGAAACTGAGAGGATGCCGGAGGGGAAGGGCGGGCCTTTTCCGAGGAAAAAGCCCTGGGGACAAGTTTCTTCGTTTCCTCAGTCACCGCTGGAAAATTGAAAAGGAGCCGATGTATCTAATTTCTCCTTTATAAATGTCATGGCAGAAAATCGTAGAGGTAGTGGCCAAATTAACATACACATCTATATCGAGCCAGATTTATGAAAACCGCACCGGCGGGCTCCTGGAGGCCACGCACCTTAAACTGACTCAACCAAAGTAAATTTTGCCAAGAAACTCAGCTCTTACCCATGGTTTTCTTAAGGTGACTCTCTTCTTGGTTCCTGATTAGCAAACGAAACACTCAAGTCCATCGAAAAGAGACTCTGGACTTGGCCATACACTATAGCTGCTTGAAGGCTCCTCATGACAGAGGATGCTTGAGAGTTAACCAAGTTCTAAGCAGAGAATTCAAGGTTGAATCACCCCCCTGACTTCCTCCCCCCCCCAGCACGTGCTTGAGGGGAATGCTTTCATTGGTCAATGGGCGTCAAACATTAAAAAAATTTGACATGACAAACTAAAAGCAGACATGACGAGTACACTGACTCTCCCAGAGCAAGACTAACGGACAGTACCACGCTTTTGCAGCACCCTCCCCCCTTAGGGATTGACATGGAGGCCCCTTCCCAGTCCCCATGGCGAGTTAGCTCAGGGACTGAGCTTGACAATGAGACAAAACAAGGACAGCAAGCCCCCTATGTTTTTTCTCACCGCAGTGACCAGAAACCTGGCTATCGCTAGGTTCCTGTGCGAATCAGTTCTGGTCCGTTTTGAGGTATGTTTTCAAAAATTCGGCTGGATATACAGTATACGTTATTTTCCAATGGAGCTAGGCCTTTCCAGATTCTGCTCGGCAACTTTTTAGCAACTTTTTTGTTAGAGAGCAACTTCTAGCAACTTTTCGGAAAACTAGCACTTTTGGGGGGAACTTTTGGGTTATTTTGAACCAAAATGCTGAATAACCCCCCTTTTTTAAAATAAACAAGTTAAAATTCTCTTGGTTAAAATTCTAAACATCTTTCTAGTAAAACTCATATTTTTACCTTTTGAATGGGTATCATGTGGACGTGGTAATTAATTACAAGAATTGGGTTTGGGTAGCCTCAACCACGTTCCCAGGTCTTTTCCCTTCTCGTGGGGGGCGCGGAAAAGCCCTGTGTAAACAAGATGGCGGACGCCACGTTGTCTTCCGAAGACGAAGAAATCGGAACCCCCTCACCCCCCAAAAAAATAACTGTCATAACTGTCTAACTTTTTGTAACTAGCCACTTAGATTCAACTAAAGGTTGCCTAATTTGTTGTAACTAGTTACTTAGTTGTACCTTAATGTTGATTACAAAACAATTGTTATTAAAATTAGACATGCTGTCTTAAAAATATTCGAGCAACTTTACAAAATTTTTGAGCAATAACTTTCTCAGTTTTGAGCAACTTTTGAGCAACTTTTTGGCATATTTCTTAGCAACTTTTTAGCTTTTTCGGAGCAGAATCTGGAAAGGCCTAAATGGAGCCGCAACGGCCAGGGTGGAGATTTTAAGAGTTGCCACTGGAAAAATGTTCCAACTATAATTCTGGACAGGAGCCGAGTAATCGGCTCCTGTTCTGGACAATGATAATGTAAGGCCACCCGATATTCCTCTCCCCCCATCCTCGAAATCAAGGAGGTGAAAATTTTTCGCGAATTCGTCCTTTTTTCGTGAGTGGCGGGGGGTGGGGGGTGGGGGTCATCTGAAGAGGTTGTCTTCGCCATTATACTGGCTCTCTTGTAGGCTCGTCTACCAGCCTCTCGTTATCTGACAAAATAATAATAAGGAATAATAATAAGGAATTTTTCGTGAGTTTAGCATCAAATCATCTGAAAATTCCAAAAGAATCACAAAAATTTCACCGATCAGATGCCCGCGAGCAAATTGGCCCAAGTTCTCTCGAGGGGGGCCTATAAGTCAAGAAAACAACAAGATCGTGTTATTTTAGTCGTCTCGAGGGAATCGAATTTCAAGTGTCGCATTGCTCCTTGTATTAAAAGGTCACTTGATATATAGAACAGCATTTGAGTGACCAACCAACGGGGTTTTTATCGTCAGCGCATAAACGCTTGAATCAAAAGGATTTCTTCGTTCGGTCACGACTAAATCTTGGTGAGTAATGATTCAAAAATAGGCAGTTTTTCTAGTATTATTCCATTAGCTAAGATGTTATGTTCCGCTTACCTGTGAATTGAAGCCTAGCTACGCCAACTTAAGCGTTCACTAACGACAGCCACTGACTGTTACAATGCCCGCCAAAACCATGCTACATTCAAACACAGCCGTTTGCAAGCAGTCCGCTTTCAATGCTATTTTGTTTTTTGCACGGGTTTTTACGCCAAATTACTACCAAAGTGTTTTTGCCATATAATACGTGTTGAATTCAGCGATTAATCAAGTGTAGAAATTATTTGAAATTCAAATTTTCCCTTAAAAAAACAAAGACAAAAAAAATCATACAATCTCGATTGCGCGACAGAGCAGGGAAGTATTCCACCACTGCATGCTGCACGTTGCAGGAGCCCAAACGACAATTCCTTTATATTTTTATTTTTCCAGTATACCTAATCACATTGTGTTGTCAGACGATGGCTAGTGTTTCGGGTGTTTTATATACTGTAGGTAGAGGAACGAAGAGGCCCGAATCTCATGCGTGTCGTGGAAGTCATACTCAACATTTCAAAATTTTAACGCGGAATGGTCAGTAGACAGTGAAATTGTTTAGTGAAGCGCTACTCCCTATAAAGGGATAATGGGCCTTTTTAAAGATGCTCCGCCCTACAGGGGTTGTAAAAAGTTATAGAAAAGATCAAGAGTAAAGAAAACTGCTATCGATTGACCTCATTCTGGAAAATCCAAAAAATAATGCGGAATATCCTGCTCGATTGACCTGCTTTTCTAATTCCGGAAAAAACGGAGCATATTCCAAGCATTCTTCTCCAGTTCTGCTTGGATTAAAATTAAAAACGGAATAATGACGTCATTTTCCTTGTGTCGTGGTTGGTTTTTACTGCAACATAAAATAAAAAACTGCGGATGTCGTCGCGTCGGTGACAATAAAAGCAGATGGGACACTTTTCTACACGAGGCAAGCGAGAATGCTGGGAGTAAGGGAAGAGCGTTCCAAGGAAAATAGCGGCAGGTTGCTTGATTGAAAAAGTGTTTTTGAATCTTAAATATGCCACGAGGTACTCGTTGCTGCGTTCCAAAGACGAGAACACTTGATCGCGGCAGGAGCACCTCGTGATCGCAGATTGGTTATCATTTTCAGCAGTAAAACCATTCTTGCTGACGTTGCATTTTAACTTGCATTATCAGCAAGTTCGAAGTTAAGTTCCAGTGGTGGTCTGTTAAACCTTTTTTTTTGTCGGCTTTTGCCTTGAAGATGAACAATGCGTTTTTTTTTAAGTGAGCCAGGCGAAACAATAATCGAGGCTGAGGCCTTGTATTCATTCCCAGGGTTCTCTCCTACTCGTCCCTACGGAGCACGAACTGGGAACAAGGTTGAGGTGAATCCATGGAACGAAAATAAGAACGAAACTACGGTATATTGCAAGTCGAATCATTAACCATGAAAGTAGCTATTAGAAAAGGCGTTTCCATTTCCGTCCGCAGATATGTCTTGCAAAACTATTTTTAGCAAGTTTATTTACGTTTTTTTGTTTGGTTGTTTGTAATATTGGTTTTATTTAGTTGACGAACTTTTAACCCTTTTATAAGCTAAGTGCTCTTGGCTAATGACCAGATTCATCTTCAACAAAGCAGTTAATGAGCCTTGAGTTTATTCAAGCGACGGATTTTGCTACTACGAGAAAAGAATGCTTAACGACTACTTATGTTTCCGTTTTTTTAATCAATTCATTTTTCAAAGACTAGGCTGACTCCGAGGTTTTTGCATGTCACGTCTTCTCAATCAACCAATTTTAAAACGTTTCCCCGGGTGTACTTCTTCTTTCCTTCCCCAATGTTGTGATTCGCGTATACACCTGATTGAAAAAACGTTGTCGCTTGAAAAGTAAAAACCATGAACGATGGGACCTAATGGATTTATGGGTACAACTTAATTAGCACTGCAAATTTAAAGTTCTTCTAAAAAATGTTTACATTTACGAAGCTTTTCGCGACGATGCATTCCAAAAAACTTAAAACGGTTTCCAGTATTTACGGCTCACAACTTCACCAGTGCTGGACACATAAGATATTTCTACAGTTAAAGAGCGTAGCCATATCGCTAACGCACACTTGAAAATCATAAGATAGAACCTATAAAAGCGTTCTTGGAAGACAAAAAAAGGCAACAGCATGCCTTAAACAAAGTACTCTAGGGATTTGCATCCGCACGAGCATCTCGTGACAATGTAAACTTTTGTCGAAAGAACTTTGAATTTGCTTTGCTAATGAACGTATACCCATAAATCCTTGAAACCTCATCGTTCATGGTTTATACTTTTTAGCGACCACGTTTTTTCAATCAGGTATATTTGCAAATGGTGAAACGTGAATCAACATTGGGGAGGGCATAACGTGACAGGTGTTTCAACAAATTTGACGAGTATTGTAGTTATAGACTCTTAAACATTTCTTTCTCACCTTTCCTCTCTTATAACTTATTCTGACTTTAATCAAAACTATTTTTGGCCTGGATAACAAAAGCATGCAAACATCAAAATGAACCAATCAGAGCTCGAAGCCTGTTGTCCGGAGTGGCAAGCGCGGGAAACGAGTGGGAACAAGTGACGATCAGTTTCGTCTTGTACCTGATTGGTTAAGAAAATGCGAGAGATTTTTAACCAGTCAAGAGAGGTAGAAATGCAATACCAAAGAATGGCTAAATTACCAACCACTTAATAAGGAAAGCTTTAAACGATTTAACGTACATTTTTTGTTTCAGTTTTAGTCATGAAGGTGTCCGTTTTGTGCTGCTGTGTTTTGCTTCTTGCCTCCCTTCACTCATGCCAATCCTACAATCCGTTTGCCCAGTTTGGTGTCTACTGCAATCGGGAAGCTTATGGAAAACAGGTCACCAAGAAAGGCTGTGATTCGAAGTACACCCAAGTAAAGGCCTGCCTTGGTACATGCGCGTCATACGCAATTCCGCTGTCCCACCCGCCTTATTTCAAACGAAAGTGTGAATGTTGCAAGCCGTCCCTCACCAGTGTGAAAATTGTAAGCCTGGAAAACTGCGACCCAGGGGTCTCCCCCTTAGTACAAGTGGAATCAGCAGAAAATTGCCAGTGCCACAGCTGTTCGTAACAACGGATGAGAGCCACTGTTTTGTGAAAATTTTGAGCGGTAGATGAAACGTTAATTACACGCTTGGAAGCTTGTAACTTGGTAGTATCACGATATATTTTGTGCTAGAAGTCCCTAACGCGGCTTTTCCTATACCTTGTAAGAACTTTTTGTGTAAGAATGTGAACCTTGTATGGCCTAATATGAGATCACAATAGACAATAAATTGTAAAAAGTAATTTTAAAACATCAAGTAACGAAATGTTCTTGTCTTCTTGTATTTTTTATCTATTGAAAGAACTTTCTTGACTCCAACAGGAAAGTAGCCTGCGAACAGCAGACGTATTTCCGGTCGCCGCTTCACTCCGACCGGAAATACGTCAGCTGTTCGCAGGTCAACAGGAAAGGGGTTAGAGGCACAAAAATGTAAATGACAACTGAAAAACGTGGGCCAAAGTGGGTGGTCTGTGCAACTGAATACTGGGCAGCCACGCGCGAGCCAAAACACCCCTTAAAGGGATCATCAAAGATTTTCATGTTTTAGTTACAGAAGTAGTCAGGGTTGAGTTGGTCGAACCCCTGTTCGCTCTGATCTTGGGTTATCTGCTAACATAGTATGCGACTTGTCATTGTCAAAATTTTCGCTGATCGGCCTTTGAACAACTCGGCCCAAAACTAAGGTACATAGCCTGTTGCAGGCGTTCAGATTTTGGGGACAGCGCAAAGAGATGATCATGTATTTGATCGCCTGGTAAGGTACACCCAACTTGGACCCACTCAGTACGGAAAAACTCTTACGCTAGTGAAGATTTTATATACACTTATCCTTTAGTTCCGTACCATGAAAAGATGGCTACTCATTTGCATAGACCTCTCTTTCTTAAACATTGGGAGAAAATACGTATAAGATTTAAAATGCCCCATATAGAATTTTTGTATTAAATTATTAGGCCAAACATTTACTTTATATCCACGAGGTTCCGCATCGGATGAATGGGCAAAGGTTGGTACAAAATGGACCCTTTGCATGATACGGTCGCATGGTACAAAACACACCTTGCTGTAGGGCAAACGACGCAGAGCGGCAACAAAAACACAAAGAGATTACATCATTCAAAAAGCTGTCCTTTTTTTTCCAGGGTCCCAGTGGGTCATTTGCCATCCAGCAGGGTATATATATTTTTGTTTTTTTTGTACCATACGACCGCATCGTGATAAAGACCCATTCTCTTCTTACCAAACATGGCAAGCAAACTGTTTTCGAAAGAAAACATAACCTGCTATCAGGAGGCCCTCCTTCCCTTTTGTTTGGGAGACGAATGGAAGAAGGCGCGTTCTTTTTATCCTCTTTCCCCGTCCGCCTACTTTTGCGCTTTCTCCGAGAAAAAAAAAAAAAAAACACCTGATCGCAGGTTAAAGAAAAGAAGGACTGCATATTTATGGTGCTGACCTTCTCGTCCTTGTTTTCTACAAACGATGTTCTTCGTGAATATGAGTCGTATAATATTATTTCTCGATAAGCGACGCAATTTATTCGAAAACATACCAAGACCGTTTTGAAAACAAAATATTGTCTTATAATAGGACAATTGCACGATGATGATATTTGACTACAAATATCAGAATTCATTTCGGTTTTGCTTTGTTATTTTAAGTTTTCAATCCCGCTGAGGATTAAAGAAAATAGCCTTAATTTGCACAAGACAACAACAAACTCAAGGATTCTGGTAGTTGTAGTAAAATGACGTCATCTTGCAATTGTCCTAATATTATTTGATTTACCGTGTCATGGTGATGTTAATTGTTCACTAGTTGTGTGAACTATAAAATTCACATCACTAGTTCGTCAAACTCTTTTCTACTTTTGAGAAGATTTTTTTTTAAATTTAACAAATAACTACAGTTGTCTATAAATTATTACAATTTTGTTGGAATCAAAAAAATGTACATTCCGATTTTTTAATCTTAAACCATGACAAACGCACCGCAGCCTTTTTGCTCGACTAAAGTAGACAGTTGTGTGACTGATTACGGCTAATTTTGTCCATGAGAACGCTTCTCACTCAGAAAAGCGACTGCAATAGTTAAGTTTAGTCAAATCAACAAGACGCGCATGCGCACTCGGTAACAGTCTCGATGGGATGATAATACTGCACCATTTTGGAAGGATCGGCGTTGTCTTGGCACCAGAGCCCCACGTCAACTTTCGCGGTTCTTATTGGCTGGCAACATGTGCAAGATTTCACTTGATAATATTTGGTTCTGGTTAAACCGGTTGGCGTCGAAAATGACAGGCAGGTCCCTAGACAGGTATTGACTGTCACTGAGCGCTGCTGACACCCTACGACCTAACAGGAAACCAAGAAAAAAAAAGAAGAGATTAAGAAAGTTTTCATACCAAAAAGCGTGGAATATACAGTAGGTGGTGGAGAAAAATCAGAAAGGCCCATTCACAAGAGATTCGCGATTTTTCAAGCATGATTTCAAATACATATCAGACTAAAATTGTGACTAGAGAAATCGGAACTTTTCCGAACGCTAATCTGGATTTTTTTTAGCAGCTTTGCCTTTCCAGATGAAATTTTCCGGATAAGTATAAAAAAAATTGTATCCGCCGTTGGTCAAAACCGTGAAGAGAAAAAGATGCGTTCTCAAATTAAACTGAAACGGTGTGGAAGGGACACAATTTATGCGGCGTTTTTAAACTTTTCCCGATGTTTTTTGAATTAATTATCATTAGTGACGGGTTTTGTTGAACAACATGACATAAAGGACTAATGTATATGGAAAGCGGGCCTGGCTCCGGTTCAAAAGGTGACAGCGCAATCTCTATCCAGCAGTGGATAGCGCGCAATTAGTTTCCCTAATACTTATCCATTGGATAGTGATTTATCCGATGGATAGTGCTTTCCACCTTATGAACAACTGGGGCCTGGTTGATAAGGATTCTGGGAATGTGTGGTGGGCAGATTTTAAAGAATCCTGGAATCATAGCTTCTTATTTTAATACACGCAGACATTCCTTAGGGCTATTGGACTTTAGCAGTCATGTAGAAGTGTATGGAGTCCGTAGACAACGTTAAGGTGTGACTTTTCATTTGAAACGGCTTCAGCAGTACTTTTCGTGATGCTATTGGTTTTTTAGTCAGATTTTAGAAAATAATAGAGAGAATATTAAAAAAACGGCAAACATCGATTTGTACCACGGGACCAAGTTTCCTTTATCTGTCGTTTTATACTGTTCATTATAGCTTCAACAAAAATTAGATGTTTCACGTTCACGCAAGTTTAATCCACGTAAGAATTAGTTCGGCACAGTTTGCATCTGCTCATTTTCTATATTGAGAAATCGTCAACTTGAATTAACGTTTGCCTTACTGAAATGTGATTCTAAATCTACCTAATATTGGTGCTGACACTACTTGAACTTTTGTTGACAGTGAAAGGATTATCAATACCATAGCCTGCGTGGCAGGCGCTTGGAAGTGGTGGGCACAAGAAAAAACGGGCGCGCACGCGCCCGTTCTCTCTTTCCCCCACAACTTCCAAGCGCCTGCTACGCAGGCTATCAATACCACAATGCGTTTCCATGAACGGCTTCTGGCTCGACAGAATTTCTAAACAGGAAACGAGAATTGCTTCAAGAAAGCATACGAAAGACAACATGAGCACACATTTACGCTGTATTAAAGTAAAAGAATAAGTCATTAACACAGGCAGTGGAGAATCAATACCTGAACTGTAAACGTGTAGCCCCTTATCACACAATGGACGCTCTTTATAGCTTGCTGCATGGGGTTCGTCGAAGAGGCAGACGGAAAACACGCGACAACCATACACGCGATCAAAAACATTTTTGCATTCTCTGCCATTTGTAGCTGAGGAGAAAAAGGAAACAGTTTTCCCTACGTTAGCAGAAGCGGGGAGTTATCGTTTGTCTAATAACGATGGTGTGATAAACTGATGCGACCCTTAAAGGGAAAACGTGTACCAAGGTGTGAAATACCTTCAAACACGCCCCAGAAAAAAGAAGAGAATATCTCACCTATGTGGGAAAAACTAATGCAACCTTAGGCACTAAACTGATCAGAATTTACCCTGGTTCTGTCTGATTATATGCTGATGACGATTAAAATAAACCTTAAGCTTTGCACACAAGAAAGCCGGATGACATCCGTTGCCGGTTTTATACACGACCATACGATTCATTCAGCGAGACCTCATGCTCTCAACATATACATGCTACTACGGTTTTCCTCAGGTCTATCTTCGCTGTACGTTTAATGCATGCTATCTAGTGGAACTGACCAAGTTAAAATTCAGTCTAAAACTCGCACCCGTTTAAAAAAATTGGGCCAATTGCGCAACTAGCACCGACAAAACGTAACAGTTTCGTTTTATTCATAAAAGTTGATTCGTTGATGTAGCCAATTTTGCGTTTTACTTCACCAAAGACCCAGCACGGTCACGGTTTTTTTGTCAAATCGAAAACCCCCTTCGACAAATCCTAACCTCTCAGTCCTTGGTTTAAATACAAGATTGTAGGCCAGCCTCAGAGTCCGGTTCCATTTCTTTGTCCAGTCCAAACGCTGATATGTTCTCTAGTTAATATTAATACCTTTTCCTGTCTAGTCTAGTCTATAGTTGCTTGAAAACCAAACCCTTAATAGCAGCGTCTACCTATAAAGTTTCAGATACGTATACCTGAATACCTCTTTCAGTCTATGAAAACGGTCCTTTTAGATTTGCAAGCGTCATCGCGACAAGATCGCTTATTTAATTTAGTTATTACTTATTAATTGTGAGAAAAGCGAAAGACACTTACTGTGTGTTGGTTTTAAACCAAGAACACTATCGTACAGTATCGTACTTTGGAGTTAATCTATAAAAAGGGTATGTGCTGCGTACCTTGTTAATCGCGCGAACGCGCGAGACACGCGGCGCGGAGTTTTTCGCGCGCACTAAGATAACAGCCTGCTCAACTTACCCTTATGGGGAGATAAAAGCCTACGAATACTTAAACTTAAACCTACCCGCGTACAGTAGTCGACCTATCTAATGGAAAATATCTTAGAGAAGAACTTCTCCCTCTCGCGCGAGCTCCTCGCGAGTGCACAATTGGCAGTATTCTCAATACACATCAGATTTGTAATGTTCTAGTTTAATACTCTGTGAAAACATTAATGCCATGCGTTTGATGTCATTTGACCCAGCCATCTATCTTTAATTTCAGTTTTTTGAAACTTAAAATATTGTCAACGACAGCAAGTAATTCGAAATGCTGAACTACTGAGCCTGTACAACTCATTTCCTCTTAAAGCCGTCCATCGCCATTCTAAACTACTGTTGTCAGTCTAACCATCTTAAAAAGCTATAAAATATTGAGAAGCGTTAACATAGTTTAAATCTTGCAATAATAAAGTAATCTACTCACTCTCTGAAATCTCCAACGGACACAGCAACTGTGGAAACACACTGAATTTGAGTCCAAGTAGTTGTTTATCTGAACGAAAAGGGAGTTTTCCAAAAATTCCCTTCGCTAAATAGTACAATCTGTTTGTGCCACCACCTTGGTTGATTGTATTCAGTGGACAGCCACGCTTCGCTCTGCCTTGTTGTGCTTGTAAACTCTCTCGAGTGTGCAACTGTTTTTAACTCATTCAAAATTTACCGGTCACTGCAAAATTTGTGTATCCGGTTTCATCATTTGATGGCCTGTCCCAAACGCCAGTTCGTATTTCACTGACCTTTCACATATTTTTGTGGTCACGATATGGTTACACCCAGCAAAGAAATGAAAATAGAAATGAATAAAGCACACACAGAGAAGCGAGCAGAAATAAATTAGGGTAAAATGCAGCACGTTTTGCACAATAATCGATGATTGCTTCCAATTCAGGGTTATCCCAAATTGCCTGCTCTGCGGTATGGCCAAAATTTTTTTTTTCCACCGCGTCAAATGAAAACAAAGAACACTCAATGCGAGCAGAGAGCGGTGTGGAGAAAAAAAAATGTATTAATTGATTGATGAATATCGAATTAAATTTTTTTCTCCATTACGGTACAAATTACGTGTTTGTAGTGGACAATTCACTTAAGAAAACCAATAAACATCAATTGCATTTGTTAAAAGTTAAAAGCACTGAAATTGTCATTAAAAGCTGTCGGTGGGATAAAGTGTCATGTGTCAAATACCCGGGGGGTACGCCTTATAATAGCCTATACTAGGAGGCTCCGCCCGAAAGGGGTGCCTGTTTCAGGCTGAAGGTTTATGAAAGGATATTCCACTATTTGAAGTAGATGAAAGGATTGGGAAATCTGTCAATTCGGCTGTAAAAAGACCCCAAAGACCGGGCTAACGGATGCGTTAATAGCTGTGTAAAAGTCCGGAAAACGTTCTGGTTTGGTGATTTATTCATATTTCAAAGACTATGTATTTACAGCAGTTAAAAAGGATGCAAAGTTCTAAACTAGGTAGGTATGTGAAAGGGGTAACATTTGTCAATAAATGGTAGACGAAGGGCTACCTTTCTGTCAAAAATGGCGGTATAAAAGGATAAGGGGTTAAACCTTGGGGCTGAGCCTCCCCCTATAAAACCTATTTTTGAGTATAGCCCCCCCCCCTTCCCTCTGAGCGTAACGCGGCGTTTCTTCCTGAGCTTTTTCGCGCCCAAGGAAATGAACGCATGATCATAGTTCGTATGCTAAGTTTCTTTTTATTAGCTTTGCAAAAACTGGTAATAAACTAGCTAAATTTGAATGGAATTGTGATATTTGAGGTCATGCATCAAAAAATCACACTTGACTGACTTTTGATCAGAATTTCTGAATGGTTTTTTGGAGTTCTTTTATCGGAGCGAGAATTTCTGAATGATTTCTAAGTTCTTTTTATTTATGGAGTTCAGAATTTCTGGACGTTTTTTGGAGTTTTTTGCGGGGATCAGAATTTCTGGACGTTTTTGGAGTTCAGTTTGTGCACATTTGAATTTCTGAATGTCACGTTTTGGAGTTCTGTTTAAGGATCGGAATTTCTGAATGTCAGTTTTGGAGTTCTTTCTGGGGGTAACAATTTAATTTCTGATTGTCTTCAGTTTGTGAGTTCCTTGTGGGGATCAAAATATCTGCACGTTTTCAGTTTGAAAGTGCTTAATAGGGATCAAATGTTCTGCTTGTCGTTTGGAGTTCTTTGTGGGGATTTGACATTTCTGAATGGTACGTTCTGGAATTATGTTTGGGGAATCAGAATTTTAGAACGTTTTAAGAAGTTCTTTATAGGGGCTGAGGACTCCTGAAGGTTTCAAGAGTTATTTATGGAGAATTTCTGGACGTTTTTTGGAGTTGTTTGTCAGAATCAGACTTTCTGAATGCTGAATGTTTTTTTGGAGTTCTTACTGGGGGTAAGAATTTCTGACTTGTCTTTTTGGAGTTCTTTGTGGGGATCAAAATTTCTGCACGCTTTCAGTCGTAGAGTCCTTTGTGGGGATCAAAACTTCTTATTGTCTTTTGGAATTCCTTGTGGAGATTTGAATTTCTGAATGATGTGTGGAGGTCTGGGATCAAAAAGTCTGAATGTGTTTTCGAGTTTTTATGGTAGTGAGAGTTCTTGAATGTTTGGGTAAGTCATTGGTAGGGATCAGAATTTCTGAACTTTTTCGAAGTTCTCTGTGGGAACCAGTTTCTGTAGTTTTTAAGTGTTAGAATTTCTGAATATTGTCGGGGGTCGTTTGTGGGAATCACAATTTCTAACAGTTTTTTGGAGCTCTGTCTTTAAGGGGGTAAGAATTTTGAATGCTTCTATATGGATCGGAGTTTAACTCTCACTGGGTGGTCAAAATTTGTCAATGTTGTTTAGAGTACTTTATGGGGGTAAGAATTTCTGACTATTGCTTGGAGTTTTTTTGTGGGGATCAGAAATTCTGAATATTTTTCGTTACCTTTCTTGGAACCCTTAATGAGAATAAGATGTTGAAATACAATCGGTGGAAATGATCGTTGTTTGTAGCCTCCCACCACGCAGACGTTCTTAGGGTTCGTCACGCGTTCGTGGGGCAGGAACGCGTGACGAACCCCTAAGAACGTCTGCGTGGGAGGCTACGTTGGTTGACGCATAATAGGGAAAAAGGTAACGTCCATATCTTACTAAACTTCAGTAAGTTCCAATTCCTTTCAGACTTTGTTGCCCATATCTTGCTAGATAGACGTGGAATTAAGGCACTCTCCGCACCAATTAAGAATGAGAAAATAGCACGAGTTTTTTGCCTTCACGTGGCTACATCCTTAAGTTTATAAGGCTTTTCCGTTTCGTTTTCTCCATGAATGTAGAATACCTACCTTGCGTCTTACTACTTTGATACGGAGGGTCTTGTGTTATTTCTAAAAAGCTAGCCTGAAATTCATCCGATTGCTTCGAGTCGTTTTCTCCTCTCACTGAGGGAGTAATAACGACTAGAAGTAATCGGATGAAATTCAGGCTACTAAAAAGCAAGCTATAAAGCAAAACTGGTTTCTGTTCATCTGTTTTAGTAAAATCCAACTAGTGGTCTATCATCAATACTGCGCTCTGATTGGTTGAGCTACTACTAGGCTATATGTTATAGTCCACTAGTAGCGCAAAGCGCCGGCTTTTTGGCGGCAAAAAAGTATTAAAGTGTAGCTTTATCTAGCTAAAGTTGTTTTCTCTTGATATTTTTTACCAACTAGTTGGATTTTACTAAAACAATTATTCCTCTCGCCTTCATGGCCTCTGAGTCAATAGCCCATGAGGCCTAACTCAGACCACATTCGGGCTCTTTCATGGGTCTCAGTTTGGTCTAAAAATAGGGGGGGCGAGCCCCCCTGGCCCCTCCCCTGAATCCGCCACTGGTTTTCGTCAAACCGTTATTACATTTCAGGGGCTCCCATCGAGAATATAGTTCAAAACCACTTAAACATAGCATTGTTAAACGTATTTTAGCATGGAAACGGTAGATATAGGCATATTTTTATCCCCTAAACATGTTTCGTCTGTTCGGATTTCCTAGCTGAAAGTCTAGTGATCCAAAATTATAGGGATTAAAACTTACCTTTTCGAAAATTTCCGCGAAAAAAAGGCTCCCGAAAATTCTAGGTGACCTTTTTAGGGCAAAAATCCATTAAAAATGGGCAATTATACCATTTTTTTAGATGTTCGGAAATCCTAGGAGAGGAAGGAAAGCAAGGAATTTTACAACAAATGTTCCGAAAATTCTAGGTCTCAAATCGTCCTCCGAACGGATATTTTCCGAAAATTGACGTTGGGTGTCCCTGTTATTTCTTTGTAAAAAACTAAAATTCAAAACCACGTTTAACAAAAGCTCGCGTTTAAATAATTATATAGGTCTTCTCATTTCTATCGAATTTCCGGAATTTTTTGGTCAATACTAACCCGCAAGTTAACGGCATAATAAAAAGCAAAACAGGAAAACTACTGGCCAACAGATGTCCTCTTTTTGGGCTGTTTTGGCAGTTGAAAATTATTGTGGAAGTTCCTCCTCGAGGTGTTGTTTATTACGGAGCTCAAGCTACCACGACAAAGACGGCCGTGAAAACGTCATCTAAATAAACGAAATTGCGTTCATTCAAGTTCTTCGGCCTTAATTTAGCCTCTCTCATTTCTAGGTGAGCGAACTTTCCTGACTTGAATTCCTAAGAATGCCATACAAGTTTAGAAAGAAAAAGGAAAATTCGTCGTCGTGTGTGTCCACGTCCTCAATAAAACGTCAAATTAAGAAGTTTGTCTTCGTGGTCGTGAAGTGGACGTCAAAGAAATGTGTGCCGAAAAGTGTCAACCACATGAAACGGTTGTTAGAACTAACGCGTGGTCATATTTGTTTTTCAGAATTTCTAGAAATAAAACGGCGAAATTTTCACAGTAGCCTGGGAAAACAGACTGTCGTTTCACGGCGCCACAACGTCGACTGTTCAGTTTTTCATGCCATTATAAGTTTTAGTTCTGAACTTCAATTTTACCACTCCCTAAATTTTCGAAGAATCAGTAGAAAAAATGGAGCGCAATAAACTAAAACAAACTGCAGCAACAATTTACGTTAATGAACATCACAAAGGTTTAGACAGTGTGACACAAAGGACACGTTCAAGGCCAGCACTTTCTCGCGTGCTTGGCCTTGCTACTGTATTTGCAAAGCCATTAAGAGTACAATATTCGTGACACTACTCGTCCTGTGTAACGTTACCGTGTTAAGTAACAAATCCACTTTAATAAAAAAAAGCACAGGACAATTTTACATACGTTCATTAATAATATTAAGTCTAATTAATTAAAATGCAGAGATTTATAGCAAGATAACAGGTACTACTGTTTTATCTTTCATCTTGCCATAGTTATTAACTATGATCTTGCTGGCAACTAGTTGCGACAACTAAGAACCCAACTGTATTGCAATACACAGAATGAGTATCGAGCAACAGATTGTTACTTCCTTTTCGAGATTGTCGTCCTGAAAGAAAATGTAAAAGATGAAGAATCGTTAGGTCGAAGCCGACTAAGGCTTAGTTTACACAAGAGACAATCATAAGCAAGAGCAAATTACACAGATGTAGTAGAGATTCAACACTTTTGTTGGGAAAAATTCTAACAAAGGGTACTGATGAGTAGAGTAGAGTACTACATCAGACTGAATATCGTAACGATCTCTTCAATACCCCCCCTACCCCCAACACCAAAGCGTTATAATTAATTATGGTGACTGAACTGAACCTGCCTCGTACTCAGACGTCTCTCTCTCGATGAAAATTTGCTGGCCTCTTTTCTTTCTCCTTCCCATGGTCCCTTGCGCTTCGTCACCAGTCACTCTCGCGTCACTCGCGTTTCGCGCTCGCTTCTGTGCGAAAAACGAGGCCCCGGGGAGGAGACAGGTGGATGAACACAGTTCCTCTAGAGATGCTTTAAATTTAAGCCTTTTAATCTTTAACGGCTAAGTTTGCCTTGCGAGGATAACACAATCAGTTTTAGAGTACGGCAATTAAACTTTTCACCCACCCTGTGGAGAAAGTTTGTCCTGCTCCGCTAAGTATGACGAAAGGCGACTGCGCGGTTTTCTGTTTTTCTATGAGAAGGGCGGTGGTGTTGAGAGGCGTGTCTCCTGAGTTCATCTTCTGAAGCGCCTAGAAAAGGCAGGCACACAAGCTTAGTTATGTGAACTAAGGGCGCTTTCCAAAAGTCAGAGCTGGCCGGCCCGACTATTGCCGGACCTGTCATTTTAACAATGAAATAGGCTTTTTCCAAAAGTTTTGCTGAACAAAAGACCTCTTTCTTGCATACTACTTAGGATTTTACTGATCTGGCTGGATGGTTTTGATTTATAGTGAATTTCTCATTACAATGTGAATGGTCCAGCCGGTCAGTTCTGACAAATGGAAAGGGCCCTAAGACTGACTGATTGACTCAGTCTCGGACTAATTGTATAGCTTGAGTTTCGGTATTATAACAGCAGTCTGACCCATGACTACCCTGCCAGAACAGCCTTTCTTTCACTGACTCGAGAAAGACTTGGCACTGCGCTGCATGTTGCTCAGGATACAATTTCAAACCCATGCCCAATAGCCCTGGGCTTGGCATTGGTTTATCAATAAACCGATGCTCGCACTCGAAAAAACCAGTTTGATGGTGTCCCCCTTGTAATGTTTACTGCGCTGAACAAGCTAATGCCGATTTTCTTTTTGCCTTAGAATGAGAATCCCACAGTGTAACTTTGTGGTGGCGCTGTTTACGTCTCTTGAAATTTACAATGTTGGAGCAATGACGTTCAATGTTGGTATAATGTAATTTAATATTGTTATGCATTTACCACTTCGTCTTTTAAAATTTTCCATGTTGAAGCAATGACTTTCAATGTTGGTATAATGTAATTTAATACTGTTATGTACTTACCACTTCGTCTTGCCGCTTCTTATTCCTTTTTTCTGTCTTAGTTTTGCCGGACGCTTTTCCATGGAACTTATGTGACAAAAAACGGAAAGCCTGAAAGATAGAACATGTGCAGGACGCATTTGTCATCAACACGTTATGCGCTACCTTCTACGTCTTAATTCCGAATTTCCAAAGTCACCAATCAAAAGTCAGCTGATCTGAGTTCATTCACTAAGCCAATCAAAGCCAAGAGTGCTTATCTCCGTCCGCTTAACTAATCACAAACAGTAACTCGCCCTTGCGTGGATTCTCTAACGGATCAGAAGCTTAAGTCAGAAGAAGCCAAAGCCAGAAGCCAAAGTATTCAAAGCCGCGCGAGTGTGCCTTAGTTCTTACTACATACTGTGAGTACCTCTTTAGGTGAAAGAAAGCGGCCATTGTCATCATAGTACTCCAGTTTTATATCAGGCTTGTAATCCTGTTTGTTCCTGGATCCACCACCGTATCTAACAAAGCCAAAACAGGGATCATCACCAATCATAGTCAGTAAATAATATTTAACTATCTTCTTCGATGCGGCTTCGTTTGTCTTACTACCAAAACAATTCAAGCAGGATTTATTTGCTTTCATTAACAGTCATACATTTTTTATGTTGATAGTTTGGCCAGAAACGGCCAAGCCTCTAAAGCGGCAGTATTTCAGGTTATCGGGATAAGGCATATAGTGGCAGATCCATACCTTCAGATGGGAGGGGGACGGAGGGGGAAACCCGATCATCCAGACCCTGAGATAGGGGGCGGGCGATCTCAAAAAAATTTTTTTTGGCCCTTTGGGCCTCAGTTTGGTCTAAAAATAAGGAGGGGGCGGCCCCCCGGGCCCCTTTTTTGGATCCGCCACTGGGATATACTGCCTAGATCTCAAGCGTTTTCACCTCCTTGCTCTGATCAAGTGTAAATAGTATCGTTTGAAAGACTACTAATCGGTGGCTATACGTTTTTGGTTTCTGTGATAACGAGTCGAGGCGAATTAAGAACCGGGCAGAGGGATAGTTAGCAGCAACTTTTGAGTCTTTGGAAGGAGTCGTTTGTTGCCAGTGAACAATTAGATGAACGTTAATAAGAAATACTTTCCTGTGGCACTGTTAATTATTCGGTATAAGTGGTTCTATTTTTTGTACCTATGGGTGAAATCCTAAGTGTTACCATTCAAATGAAAGCTACTAAGCAGTACTTTCCTGTGGTACTGTTTATTATGCTGTACAAGGTGGTTCTAAATTTTGAGTCTGTGGATGAAATCCTAAAGTGTGACCATTCAAATGAAAGCTTCTGAGCAGTACTTTTCTGTGCTACTGTTTATTACGCTGTACAAGGTGTTTCTAACTTTTGAGTCTGTGAATGAAATCCTAAAGTGGGACCATTCAAATGAAAGCTACTGTGTTGGGAATGGGATATTTGCTTGCAACACACTGTTGTCCCGATAAACTCGCGCTAAACGGTCCTAAATCACTCACTCACGATGTAAGGTTTTAAACATATATTCTTCACTCACAGCATCCCCGGTTTTATTACAACACAACTCCTGATAATTTTTTCAACGAAAGATAAAGCGATTCGTTTTATGTTTCCTTTGATTTGGCAGATTCGATGCCTATCTCTTTCCGGTCACTTAACAATCAAATTCTATATGCGATATGAGGTTTGATTACATATGTAAACACGCGATTTACGACACCCTCCCCCATTTGCTTCGAGAGAGCAAATGTCCAGAACTTAATCAACAGATAGAAAATCAGTCGTTGAATTTAAGAGTCTCGAACTGCAGTCTGTTGACCAAGCAGCATCATAACATAACAAATATTAGAGTTTTTAAATCAATGTGCCATCTGGCATGAAATGCTCAAAAATATAAAAGTTCACTCGTAATGTTCATAGTTCCTGGGGTTCTTAAATTTATGCATTGTTCAGTTCATTGTTCGTCCTCGTTCATATCCTGGATACGAACTCTGGCTGCTGCTGCGGCATCCCTTTGCGGCCTGTAGATTGGCGCCATTGGATTCAGCGGCTCCGGTGGGTTCTGCATCGGCATGTCACAACTCAGCTCTAGAGGGTACAGATGCTGTATTGGGCGCTCCAGGCGTGACTTTCCAGTTTTCAGCTTTGCCCCACGAATCACGCCATCACGGCCGGTGATTAGGTCTTCTACGACTCCCAACTTCCACTGTGCTCGATTCTTCTCTTCTGATTTGATGATGACGACTTCTCCCTTGGATGGATAGGTCGTGTCTCCCTTGTGCTTCAGCCGGTGTCTCTCTCTCAGTCCGCGGAGGTACTCTCTTGTCCAGCGTGACCATAGTGTATCCTTGCACTTCCTCAAATATTTAGCTCTCTTCCGCAGGTCGTGTTCCTGGACGTGATGAGGTTCTAACTCTGGAAGCATGTTCGGTTGACCATAAAGGAAGGTGCTCGGGGTCAGGATGGGTAGCTGAATGTCTTCCTCTAGGTAGCTCAACGGTCGGTTGTTGAGCGTCACCTCGACGTCAAGCAGGACGTCTTGTAGCTCGTCCCAGGTGAGCGTTCCGTTTCCCACTGTCTTGTAGAAAACTCGCTTCACGAGTCCCACCAGTCTCAAATTGTCCACCCCACCAGGGTGCTCTGGACAAGTTGAATTGCCACTTCACGTTTATCTTGGCAAGGAAGTCGTGTAGACGTTCATCCTTCATCACCTTGTTCAGCCATTTTGCTGCTCCCACAAATGTTTTCCCGTTGTCGGAGTATATCTTCTCCGGGCGACCTTTCCTGGCGATGAGACGCTTGAGAGTTCCGATAAACTCTTCCGTCTCCAAGGTTCTGGTCGGCTCGAGGTACACGGCGCGGGTCAGGCTGCAAGCGTACAGAACGATGTACGCCTTGCCCTCTCTGTTCTTGCTTATACGATACTTAATGGGTCCCGCGTAATCCACTCCAACAACTTGAAAGGGTGAAGAACCTTCTGTCCGATCCTTTGGCAGGTCGCCTTGGGGTGGGGACGAGAACGCTTGGGCTTGAAACCGCCGACAGCCGTGGCAACTCTTCACGATTCCTTTTGTCAATCTTCTGAGGCGCGGAACCCAGTACAGCTCTCGTACCTTTGCCATGGTACTGACGACTCCCCGTGGAGCGTCCCAAGGTGTACTTGTGTTACGAGCTTCTCTGTGAAGCGCTGACTCTCGGGCAAATACACCGGATAATGCCCTTGTATTCGGCCTCGACATTCTAACACGCCGTCTTGGTTAGGTTGCAGATTCAGTTGCAACCGATCTTCTTCGTAATGCTTGTCTGCTGTGGCTCTGGTCTGGACTCTTTTCACCCAGAAGATTGTCGCTTTGTTAGTTTCTTCAGTTGTCAGCGGTCCTTCGTGTCTTTGTATCTTCTCTGAACGAGCGTTGTGAACGAACCGCATTATCCACGCACAGATTCTCATTGTCCTCCAGTAGGTAAACTTCTCAAGAAGGTTGTCTAGCTCATCTGTAGTTGCTATCGCCACAGCAAAAACATCTCTTGTTGCTTTCACTTCTGCCATTGATTCCTCTGATGCCTTAGTCACAATGTCTGGAGGCCAGATCGCTTTGTTCTTCAACCACTTCGGCCCATTGCTCCAAGAGGGATGGTTTTTCACTTCTCCACCACGGCTTCCAAGGTCAGCAGGGTTCTCCAAGGTCCCTACGTGCCGCCAAGTCACGCCTGAATGTGCTTGTATTTTCTCGACTCTGTTACTCACAAACTGCTTATATGTGCCTGGGGATCTGATCCAGTGCAGGGCAACGGTGCTATCGAGCCAGCAGTACTTTTCGGTAAGGGGAAATCCGTCCAGGGCGGAGGCCACGTTTACCAAGAGATTCACTGCCATATGTCCGGACACCAACTCTAGCCGAGGGATCGTCAGTCCCCTTTTGGAGAGTCTCGCTCTCGCTGCCACGAGCCCTTGATTTGAGCCCGACTCTTGATTGACTACAGCATACACAGCCGCGGCCACGCCCTTCCCACTGGCATCACCAAATGCGTGCAACTCTATTGACTGAATGTCCTCTTGATGGGCTGCTAAAGATCTCGGAACTGTAAGCTGCACGGGAAGTCGCTTCTCCCATCGTATCCAACTCTGCATCATATCGCCTGGTAGCTTTGAATCCCAGTTTAGCTTGGCATCACACACGTCACGGTAGAGGAGCTTACCGCCTAATGAGATAGGAGAGGCCAATCCCAGTGGGTCATAGATCCGTGCCACTTTGCTTAAGATTCCCCGCTTGCTGGGATCAGCTTTTTCTTGTGGAAAACTTACTCCGATGGTATCGTTTGCTTTGTCCCATGGCAAACCAAGCAGGGTAGCTCCTTCTCTTCTGGGGACGTTTAACTGCTCCTTTGCATACGTTTCTTCCTCAATCGAGACTGGTTCAGAAGCGGCTGGTTCAGAGGCGGCCGATTCCAACTCTCTCACATTCGAATGCCATTTATGCAACTCGAAGGTGCCCTTGGCGAATACTTCCTGAGAAGCTGATTTGATTTCCTTTGCCTTTTCACAGGTAGGGCCACCACTGATGAGGTCGTCGACGTATAAGCTGCGTTCTATCTCGCTGACAATGTCCGGGTGGTCTTGTCTGCAACTCTCCAACAGGTGCTGAATCACGCCTCCCAGGAGGAATGGCGATGATGTGAGACCGAAGAGGGCTCTTGTAAACCTCAACGTCTCCACTGTTTGACTGCTTGGGTCCTTTAACCAATGAAATCGCAGCGCATCACGGTCTGGCTCCTTGATTCGTACTTGAAGGAAAGCTTGCTTAATGTCTCCTGCGACTGCTATTGGATGAAATCGAGAACGAACTAGGACACTCCAGAGTTTGTTTTGAAGAGGTGGTCCAGGATTCAGACACTCATTTAACGAGGGTGCACCAGAGTAGGCCCGTGCTGACGCGTCATAGACCACTCGAAGCTTAGTGGTTTCTGCTGTGTCGCGTACCACTGCCTTGTGAGGAATGTAGAATTCGTGCTGCCCAGTTGCGGGTGTGCTAACTCTCTCGACTATCCCGGTCTTGATTTGGTCTTGGATTACTTGATCGTAACGTTCTATCATTCCTTGGCCACGCAGCTTCTTTACGAGGCCTGTTAATCTGCGAAGACTTCCTGCTTCGTTGGTTGGTAAAGGTGCGTGGTTCCCTTTCCATGGTAGGCTAGTTTCGTACCAACCCTCATCATCTCGTCTTAGTTGCTCTTTGAACTCTGAATACACCTCGTCTTGGTCACCAGTTGCACAATCTGCCAGTCCAAGCACGTCCAGTCTGCACAAGTTGTCGTAATCTACCGTTGATGTCTGCGTCAGGAACATGGGAGACAGATCCACTTCTTTGCCCGGTGAAATAATGGTCCATCCGAACTTAGTTTTCTCGGCAATAGGCTCGTTTGCGGCTCCAATAAGAGGTGCTGTTACAGTCTTGATCTTAGTATAGTCACACACTCCCAAGATAAGGTGCACCGGAAGGTAATCCTTTGGGTCCATATCGTCCATCTTCACTCCCTTCAAGTGGTCGTACCTTTCCAGGACTTGCCGGTAGCGAGGGTTTTCCAGGGATAAAAGCTGTGCCTTATTCACCTTAGTCACGTCCGTTTCAAGGATGAAATCGCTCTGCAGTGAACTTATTTGCACTTTGAAGATTTCCACCGGCTTAGTGACTACTCCCATCATCATTTCGATCTGTCGTACTTCTCGTTGATGAGGGCGAATCTTTATGTGATCAAGTAACGCTGCTGAAGCGTAGGAACTTCCGGCGCCGGTGTCTAGTAACGCACGACACTTAACTCCCATCACTTCCACTACGACGACTGGATAGATCACAGTTGGTCTTTGCGTTGAAGTCGCTGTCATTAACTGGTTACTGACGCTGTTGCAGATGGACGTGTGATGCCTTCTCTTACAAATCTGGCACATGGAACGGCTTTTGCAATCTTCAGCCCTGTGTTTGCCTCCGGTGCAATTGAAACAAAGGCGTTTGTTGCTAAGCATCCTTTTGCGATCGTCGAGGCTGGCTACCGTTTTGCAGTCGACCGATCTGTGATCTTGGCTTTCGCAATAAACGCATCCCCGATTTTTGCCATCTCTCTGCTGTTGGACTTGGAAATTCTTGTCACGCCAGGGTTTGTCGACACGCCAGGGCTTATCGCTTTGCTTGGATTGGATCGGGTTTCTTTCTGTCCATTTTCGAAGCTCATCCACTAACCTTGGAAAATTCCACTCTCGCCAAGAGTCGTCTGTTCGCACAAGATCCCCTCTTATCCCCGGCAGCTTGTCAATAGTCATCCGCACGTATCCATTCACCTCTCGCAGTTTTCCCATTGTTTCCAATGATTGCACATTGAAAAGAAGCTTCTCGTAGAAATCATGGATTCTGGCTGGCTGTGTTCCTCCAATTGTAGGCAAGGACATGATGTTTTCCACGTACGCGTTCACGACCTCGCTTGTTTGTCCATACTTCCTTGCCAGGATGTTCTTCGCACGCTCGTATCCCTCTACTGAGAAGGGCAAGCCGTCTATTTCCGCTCGTATCTTCGGGTCTACGAGTTCCTTTAGGTATGAGTACTTTGTCACGCCAGCTATTTCTGCCTTGTCAATCTCGGTTTCAAATTGACTCCAGAACCGTGGCCAATCCGTTAGTTCACCTCTAAACTTTGTAATGACGAGCTTAGGAAGTTTGGCGGTCTTCGCTGCTTGATTTGAGGTCGGCTCCGTGGTCTTCGAATGGTTTGCTTTTGTCTCCTCGATCTTCTTCTCATATGTCAGCCTCATCTCCAGTTGCGTTCGTTCAAACTCAAGCTGATCCTTTCTTGACTGCTCCAGAAAGGCTTGTTGACCCTCATTTTCCGAAAGGCGTTCTCTTTGCTTGTATTCTGTTAACCATTTCCGCAAGTACGCGATGTTCTCATCAGCAGATGTTTGGGCGGCTTCAACTGTGAGGCTCCATTCTGACACGTCTTCAAGTTTCTCTCCGTTCGCGATTTTCGCTTGCTCGATTTGAAGCTTAAAATCTTCCACCTTCGTTACGATAGATCTCAAGGACTGAAGTTGGCGGTCCACAGCTTCCACATTTCCCTTTGCGGTGATTCCTTCACTCTTATCCCTTGTGAAGTTGAGCAATTGTAGTTGTGTGTCTAGATCCGTGGTAAGTTTCTCCATTGTAAAATCCCGGCGTCAGATCTGTTTGTTTTCCCTCTGTTCAGTCCCGTCGGAGGTGCCACTTTGTGTTGGGAATGGGATATTTGCTTGCAACACACTGTTGTCCCGATAAACTCGCGCTAAACGGTCCTAAATCACTCACTCACGATGTAAGGTTTTAAACATATATTCTTCACTCACAGCATCCCCGGTTTTATTACAACACAACTCCTGATAATTTTTTCAACGAAAGATAAAGCGATTCGTTTTATGTTTCCTTTGATTTGGCAGATTCGATGCCTATCTCTTTCCGGTCACTTAACAATCAAATTCTATATGCGATATGAGGTTTGATTACATATGTAAACACGCGATTTACGACACTGGGCAGTACTTTCCTGTGAGGTGGATCTAACTTCTGAACGTGTGGGTGAAATCCTAAAGCGTTGCCATTCAGGTGAAAGCTACTGAGCAGTTTTTTCACATTCACGATCTCACAGACTAGAATTTTCAAATGTTGGAGCGTTGCTTTTTTAAACACTTTCGGAAGCTGAAGAGTTAAATTAAAGGTTACCCACTCACCTGTCTCTGTCACGGTCTCTATCGCGGTCCCTGTCAAAATCCCTGAAAAAAAAAAGGACGGTCAACATCTGTTTCCTTTTTGCTTCTCGCAAGAACGTAGGAAGAAAAACACACTAATAGACCTTTTTTCCGCTACGTCGGCCATCTTGAATTTATTAGATTTAAGGAGTATTATGGGATGCCCAGGGGGCACTCGCTTAGTGTTTACGCGCGCTTTTCGGGCAAAAAAAGAACTTCAGTGTATATTTCTCGGGAAAAAGGCGATCATTATTAGATCCAAACACGACACAACGATGTTTTTTTCCCATTACAATCTAGGAAAACTTATAAAACAATTGGCCAGAAAAGCGCGCGTAGATACTGAGCCAGGATATCGGATAGTGCTCATGCCTCCTGGGTATCCCATAATACTCGTTAAATCTAATAACTTCAGTATGGTCGCCGTATCGGTCAATTGGTCTATTATAGTTGAATAATAAAAAGAAAATATTTACCTAGGCGGTCGTCCACCTCGTTCTCTTTCTTCCTCGCTGCAAGAGAGAAAAAAAAGAAAGTGAAAATCAGACAGACTTAAAAAATATTCGCGCGCATATCCAGCATTTAACTTGTTAATGTTCATTGAAACGTTTCTTCTAGTAAAGAGTAATTCGCTAAAATTTGGTTATTGACGGACTAACGCCCTCTCTAACTGACTTGTTGGTTGAATGGCCGACTGATTGACTGCAGTTGATTGGTTTATTCATTGAAAGTCCAGAAGCAAAAATTCTAAGACTCGTTTTCCAGAGCGTGTAGCTCATAAATGAGGTCAGTGTCTATTAATTACGATGATAAGTAGTCAACCTCCACAACTAACCTCAGCGACTAATAACGACTAATAACCGACACTGGGACGCACTTAAAAAATTGTCCAAAGTTTAAGCTGAGGCAAATTTCAAAGGGAGCTTTAAGACTCACCGCATCTTTTCTTCATCCACAACACCGACAGATGGTAGGAACGGAAGAGCTTTGCCTTCATTCTTGGTTTTAGTTGTTTGTTCCAATAAACCTAAATGAATTTCAACACGAGAGCGTTAGTTTCTTCGTGCGACATCGCGAGCTAATCCTCTAATCACGCCAAATTTTTTCCTGTAGTATCGACTCGTATTCCGTAGGAGAAGTGAACGAATAATGGATCACCTGAATGAAAAGTCGAAAAGCACATTACAAACAAGAATAGCCCACGTTCGATATAATAAAATTCTAACATGATTCCGAGGCTTAAGGGTCAAAATTGAAATTTTCCAAGACTCCATTGTCTCGCGATTCCCAAAAGAGACTTGAGCACAAAGAAAACCAAACCAAATATAGAAAAATGACCAGAGAGCCTCGGAGCCATGTTAGAGTTTTAATATATCCAACGTGGGCTATTCGTTATGTAAAAAAACCGTGCTGTTAAAACATTTTACTTTAGATAGTCCGGCAAAAATATCACAGTCTAGACTGATTTCTTCGCCGGCTCAAAATTTTAAAGTGAAAAGAATGGTCTCTAGTGGGGGAAGCGCAAAGAGCCTTAGATCATTATACGATTCTGGGAAACTGCCCACCTACCCCTCCCCTAAGCCAACATTTTGCCCTAAGTAAGAAGTAAGTGTTGGCTTAGGGGAGGGGCGGGTGGGCAGTTTCCCAGAAACGTATTACGATCCCAAATGTTGCGATGCAGTTACCTTTTTTAGATGCGAGAAACAGGGCAGCGCCCACTCCAGTGCCAACCAGAGGCTCTGCTTCAAGAATGCTACTTTCTGTTTCCTTAAATAAAAATAAAGACAAGAAGGAGTGAGAGTTATTATTGGTTTAACTAGCCAAAACCACAGTTTAATTTACGGTAAAAGGCAAACGTGAAGGTCCTTAATTCACGTCGGTAACTCGTAACACTACTCATTAGGCTGATAAAATGAGGCCGCCGGTGCGCTCATTTTACACCCCCACCCCACCCCTCCTTCTCACCATCAGTGCTTCGTTTAACGAGAATTTACAGCTTCCTAAAGCTACACTTAAAGCTGTTCCGGAGGACACCCGACCTACGTTGTCAAAAACGTTTTAGGATTCTGGGTTTTTCTTCGACGTCAATCAAACCGTTACCATAGCATCCAGTCCTTGCTTATCAAATAAAGGCGTCAATAACAAGCAGAAGCTGTAAAATCAAATGTTGGCGGGGACGTACGATTCGTTTTCACCCTCCCATATCTGTGTTTCCTCTGGATTTGGAAGCTCTATAGAAACAATTTCACCTTGGGAATCTAAACTTGCCATGTTTTAGTAAGAAGGTAAAAAAACGTGAGAGCTAAAACTTGAAAACACACGAACTCTGAAGTTCAAAAGCAGCGAACCTTGAAACACAAAACGGATCGAAAGCCACCAATTACAAATCACAAACCATGACCTTTTGAACCCGTTGAACGGTTGAAGTAAACTTCTGTCTCCTAAGTGGTCCGCTTAAATGATTGACAGCAGCGAAAAACGCAACTATTTTGATTGACGTCGCAGAGAAACCCAAAATCCAAAGACGTCTTTGACATCGCAGTTCTTCGCATCGTAGATTTTTATTGTCTGAAGTGACATATTATAAGGAATTCTGTCAAATTTTGTCAAATTCTAAGGTGTAAATTTTGAGAGATCGTCAAGCAATTGAGGAAAAGACTAGTCTGGATATTACGGATTAACTGTGGAACTCTCTTTACAACTGAACTGGTCTGTTCAGAAAGTTCTGGGAAATGGTAAGCGCCTATCAGAGACATTTTGCCTTCCCGACAGTCCATCAGAATGCATAACTAAACACCAGTCT